GGCAAGAGGACGAAAATGGCTGTCTACCGCTCTACCTATGTACCAGTCCTGACCTATGGGTGTGAGTCATGGGCAATGACAACAGCTCACAGAAGCCAGCTGCAGGCCTCGGAAATGAGATACCTGAGAAAGGTGGTCCAAGTGACAAGAAGGGACAAAGTCCGCAATCAGACAATACGTCAAGATCTTGATACCCAGCCCTTACTAACCCGAGTGGATCAGTCACAGTTACGATGGTTTGGACATGTGTGCAGAATGGGAGAAAATCGGCCACCATGGCAAGCATGGGAGGCTAAGAACCAGGGAACCAGACCTCCGGGACGACCCAGGGTGCGCTGGGAAGACAACATCCGACAGTCCCTGACTGACAGAGAGGACTGGAATGGAACAAAGCCAGAAAGAAAACTGCGAATAGAAACGTCTGGCGATCTCTCTGGCAAACCTCTACACCCCAATGTAGAAGAGGAGCCACTAAGTAAGTAAGTAAATGAAAGATCACTTCTGCTCTTTGTGTTCATTATAAGTCCAGACACTAATGATCTGCTACATAACTCTTCCAAGCCGCCCTGCATTGTCTCCCTCTGCTTCAAGTAACCTCAGCCTTAATGTGTTGTTAAATGATCACATTCTGTTTGATTAACAACATTAGGAGTACCTTCTCCTCATGTAGGCAATGACCTATCTATCTATCTTTGTCCCAGGCGGGCCATATGGGAGCAATGAAAGAGCTGAGAGACTGGCTGGTTCTGCCATAGCTACATATGCTCAGCCCATGGATCATGCTCTTAGAGAAAGAGAGGATGACTAGGGGATTTTTGGAGCAGGGTGCCCACATTATCTTTGTGAGAACTGGGAGTCACCATTGGCATAGTCAGGCATGATGGAGTCATATTACAGTAACAGACTCACAGTCAGCTATTTCCTCTCTCCTTCACAGTCATACACAGTTGCAGACTCACAGTCAGCTATTTTCTCTCTCCTTCACAGTCATTCACAGTTGCAGATTCACAGTCAGCTATTTTCTCTCTCCTTCACAGTCATACACAGTTGCAGACTCACAGTCAGCTATTTTCTCTCTCCTTCACAGTCATACACAGTTGCAGACTCACAGTCAGCTATTTTCTCTATCCTTCACAGTCATACACAGTTGCAGATTCACAGTCAGCTATTACCTCTCTACTTCACACAGTCATACACAGTTACAGTTTCACAGTCAGTTATTTTCTCTCTATTTCATACAGTCATACACAGTTACACTTTCACAGTCAGTTATTTCCTCTCTACTTCACACAGTCATACACAGTTACAGTTTCACAGTCAGTTATTTCCTCTCTACTTCACACAGTCATACACAGTTACAGTTTCACAGTCAGCTATTTCCTTTCTCCTGCACACAGTCATCATACACAGTTACAGTTTCTCAGTCAATTATTTTCTCTCTCTTTCAAACAGTCTTCATACACAGTTACACTTTCACAGTCAGCTTTTCCCACTCTCCTTCACACAGTCATCATACACAGTTACAGTATCATAGTCAGTTATTTCCTCTCTCCTTCACAGTCATCATACACAGTTACAGTATCATAGTCAGCTATTTCCTCTCTCCTTCACAGTCATGATACACAGTTACAGTATCATAGTCAGCTATTTCCTCTCTCCTTTACAGTCATCATACACAGTTACAGTATCATAGTCAGCTATTTCCTCTCTACTTCACACAGTCATACACAGTTACAGTTTCACAGTCAGTTATTTCCTCTCTACTTCACACAGTCATACACAGTTACAGTTTCACAGTCAGCTATTTCCTTTCTCCTGCACACAGTCATCATACACAGTTACAGTTTCTCAGTCAATTATTTTCTCTCTCTTTCAAACAGTCTTCATACACAGTTACACTTTCACAGTCAGCTTTTCCCACTCTCCTTCACACAGTCATCATACACAGTTACAGTATCAGTCAGCTATTTCCCCTCTCCTTCACAGTCATGATACACAGTTACAGTATCATGGTCAGCTAATTCCTCTCTCCTTCACAGTCATCATACACAGTTACAGTATCATAGTCAGCTATTTCCTCTCTCCTTTACAGTCATCATACACAGTTACAGTATCATAGTCAGCTATTTCCTCTCTCCTTCACAGTCATGATACACAGTTACAGTATCATGGTCAGCTAATTCCTCTCTCCTTCACAGTCATGATACACAGTTACAGTATCATGGTCAGCTAATTCCTCTCTCCTTTACAGTCATCATACACAGTTACAGTATCATAGTCAGTTATTTCCTCTCTCCTTCACAGTCATCATACACAGTTACAGTATCATAGTCAGCTATTTCCTCTCTCCTTCACAGTCATGATACACAGTTACAGTATCATGGTCAGCTAATTCCTCTCTCCTTTACAGTCATCATACACAGTTACAGTATCATAGTCAGCTATTTCCTCTCTCCTTCACAGAGTCATCATACACTTTCCTCTCTCCTACACACAGTCATACACAGTTACAGTCTCGAGCTCAACTATTTCCATATTTTATAAAGTTATATGGATGTGGTTTTATAGACAAATAATGATAACAGCACAGACAGATACAAGTACAATAAGGATGTCTAGAAAGAAACTAACTAACAAAGACCTATTACATCAGAAGGAGATAATCTACATTCTCTGGTCACATAATAAGAAGCAGGAAACTTGAGTACAGCTAAATGGTAGGCAAGCTAGAGGAAAAGAGAAGCAGAGGAAGACTGAGATTTAAAAAGAAAAATGCCGAACAGGTTTGACATTGTGGCGTGGGTGACCTGGTGTATCAGAAATGAATGAAAGTAAATGAGGCAGAAGGCCGTGGATACACATCATTACCAATGCCACAGGTAAAGGACTATAAGAATAAGAAAAATGATTATTAATCTTGTAGATGTCTACATGGACCCCTGGTCAGTTAATAGTCAGTGTACACTCAGTCTGGGTACAATTTCCACTGGCAGCAAGATTCCAATTTCCTACCAATATGGCTCCGAGGCTGGCCTCGTCTGGATAACACAATGGTCAACAATCAATTTTAAGATTTTTCTGTGGAACTTCTAGGATAATGATGAAGTAAAAATAGTAAACTGACTTCCTAATACAAATGCAGAACACATTCTCCAAGGTGTTTCATGAAAGGTCAGAGTGACAACATGGTTTTACTCAACCCTGCTGAAAGAGAAATGGTGTGCTGGTGAGGAAAAAAAAACATGCTAATTTGTTAGAATTCTGAAACATGTCCACAGATTACCCATATTGAAACAAAAAAGTTCAGTAAAATTCTAACCAAAAGTAATATCAACAGAAACAGATTTCTTGAAATTTCAAGAAAGGAAACTTTCAATATATTAATAATAAATAAAACTGTAGGAAAATCTTTAGTGCCAGATAACCTCTCATTTGACACCACAACATCTAGCATGAGAATGAAGGTGGAGGCAGTAACTGCAGCTTTCCTTCGCTAGAGAACAAGATGCATTCACATGTCGTAATTGTAACAGACTCTGAGAGCATGCTGAGAAAGGTGAAGACAGGGATGCTTCGAGCAGAGTGGCAAGCTTCGGTGGAAAGGTCACCGGTAGTGAGCATACTTTAAATCTTTTCTCCAGGCTATGCCAGTGTGGAGGGTAATGAACAGGCAGACAGATTTGCTGGATCTGCACCACTGGGTGGTGAACTGATACATGACAAGGCCCTTAGGGAACAAGCAGCAAAATCAGTAGGTATCATTATGGCCTGGAGAGAATGAGGCATCTGGGTGTAACCAGAGGGTCTGGCCGGCTCACTACACTCAGAGGAAAGGCAAGACAGACATATAACCAGATTATGACAAGTACCATCAGTATTGGTACTCTGCGCTGGCTGCTGAAGATCAGGATCATCCATGGAAATGCCCTGAGTGCTGTGATGTCAATTCTTGATTCAACTCAACTTAACTCCTACAACTGTAATTATAGTAAAATAAACTCATCAGATTTTTTTGAGATATCACCAACTGAATCTCTTTACTAGTTATGGATAGTCTTAGCTCCTGTGATACTAAAATCAACTGATCTGTTCTAGAAGAATCAGCTGCATAATCTCCTACCACAGAAATATATTAACTATGTCAGTTTCAAGCAGTGTGTGATACTTTATTGGCTCTTCCATCTGAAAGTTACCCATCCTGCAATGTGTTCTTATGCTTCTTACATTTGGCCAGGTGATACTAAAATAAATCTAGCTTCTCCAGTGGTAATGACATTGTGAATGCAACCTCTTTGAAAGCAAACCATTTTAATTTTTTTAAGTGGGTAATTACCCTATGGACATTTATTGCAAAACCTACTGAAGATAAAAAAGTAAAGGGAGAGGTAAGAAATCAAGTCTGTATGCAAATAAGTCAGATTTGTAAAATGGATGCACACACAACAATCAGGTTCTGGAACAGGATTACAGTCCAGAAGTGGATGAACAACCAAAACATTATGCTGGAGTTTACACCTGGTGAACGTGAAATTCATAAATTTACATCATTAAATGAACAATATTGAACATTCTCAAATATGTATCAACAGGATGGACTTGAAAGCAGATGAACGTCAGACATCTTTAAACAACTAAAAATGTAAAATCTATACTTAAAAAATGAAATAAGAAAACTCAGATAGAAAAACTCACTAGAAAAATTTAAAAAATGAAATAGTGAACAATTATAAAGGTAAAACACTTGTATAGTAGCTTTAATTTAGTTAACAATGAATCTCTTCATTTGTGAACTGCACATTTGCAGAACATGGTGTATATTGAAATGCATAAATGACAACACAGAAATGTTAATATTTCACTTCCATCATTGTGACCTCACTAAAAATGATTTATTATTCGATACTTCACAAGTCTAGGAATTTAAGAAGTCCATGCACGTTCTGTCATCAAATGGAATCCTTGCTACCCAAACCATACACAGATCTCTGCTCCCCATGATGTCATTTCTTTCTGTTGCATGTTTTTGTCATCCACTCGACTCCTTCCTGAAAGGAGAAGCATATAACATTTAAGGGGGCAGTTCTAGCAGGGAATCAGTGGCGTTGGAAAAAAAATCATAACAAATTCAATTTTAAAGATGGGACTCTCAAATTTTCAGACATAATGACCATTTGGTAAGGCTTTCATATAAAACAAACATCTTTGTAATTGAATATATACATGTGAGATAATAATTTTTTTAAGTGAAAAATTTATTTTTTAAATATGCAAAATATAGATGTTACTTTGGAAATAGTTTTTGGGAAATGGTGCAGCCAAATTCCTTCCAAATTAAACTGCACATACAAAAATGGTGTGAGTATGGCCCGGACTATGGAAAACAGTACACATTTAAAAGATTTTATGTAATGCTACCTGAAATTTTCCTCTTTTTGTGTGTAAAAAATTACAAATTTGAAATTACATAAAAATGAACACAATCATGATATTAAAATTCCCTTAGAATAGGCTACAGCCAGTTATAATGTGAACAAGCATGCAAAATTTAATGCAGATTAGTTAAAATCTGAGAAAGTTATACCAGGATAAGTGAAAAAAATGTAAAATTTTACAACAAACGGCGTTAATTTTTTTGTTAACATTTTCTGAATTTTTACCTCAGTGACTCCCTGTCAAATAAGGGTAGCCTTCGGATTGATCTTGTACCTCCTTTATTCCAAGTAGCTTCCCCCTCCTTGCACTTCTCGCTTCCAATGATGCTTCTGTTGCTTTCTTCTGAGAGTTTTTCAGCCGTAACGTGTCAGTAGAGATGAACAATTCTGACGTGAAACATCCACATAATAGTTGCATTGCCACAACGGGCACTTCTAGGGTTTTTGCTCCATCATTGAAAATGAGTACTGAAATGCCAACTGCAATATTAACAGCTACTTATCCATGGTATTTGTGTTTGGGGCAATGTTGCCAAACTGTGCTGTTGATTAATTCGTTAGCGTTCTGGGTGTAGCCATCTAGAAATTTTCTCAAAAGGTAGGGTTTGAGAGATCTATGAAAACTGGCTTGATAACATCCATAACTGCTGCAGGCAGGGAATTTTTATGTTTATAATCCTGTTCTGTGTTGGTAGCAATAGCGATGTTATTTGGGCACCAAATAATTTAGCAGAGATTGTGAACAGGCTTTTGATCCGTGGAGAGTTTGTGAAAATATATTGTCCAAACAGCTTCTCGCATTTCTTTCAAGTCATTTTTAGTACCTCTGATTGCATTCCCATAATATTTCTGAATAGAGTCACTTTGTGTGTCCGTAAGCCTTTCATTTCCACCAATATTCTTCCTATCGGACAGGTTCTTTCCCTTCCCCACAAAATTATTTATATTGCGTAGTCGGGTACCTATTCTTTTTTGCACGTGCCCGACACATTCTATCTTCATAACAGGCGTGTCACTGTATGGCTTTGAATCAGAAACTGTTTCGAAGCTGTCTGTGTCACCATCTCCAAGCACTTTATATCCTTCATTTATTAGTTCATGTGTGTACTTCAGGACAGGCGGCAGAAAATTCATAATTCCCCGAAATGTTTGCAAGTCCGAACAGTCACTTCGTGCACAGCACATAGCGAAAACAGCTTGCTTGTTGACTGAGTGTACTTGTAAGCTGCTGCTGTAGTTGACACTTATTTGACAGTTGGAATGATAAATGGTCTGTCTTTTACAATTGTGGTTGCTGCATACAAATTCAAAGTGACTACCAAGTCCTTGTCTTTCATTGTCAGTAAGTCTGACTTGGTTGTAACAAAAGACACAAACCAGCTGTGATGAAATCTGGTGACATAGAATTTCCAGGTCAGCAATCCTGTACCCTTCCCTGTCAGTACTGTCACATTTAGGATAAGTATTTGCCTTATCACATTCTTCTAAATCTGTATCCTGGATCATCATCAATGCCATACAGGTCGTTGATTTTTATTGATGACCGACTGTGAGTGGGCGTGGCACTTTGGTACTGGTTCTACTATTATTATTACTACAACATTACAATTAACATATCCACAGATTACTTGTAGGAATGTCAATGTTATTGTTTATGTTTACATGTTTGTCGTTCTCAATAGTATGATATAAAACTAATTCTCTGCATCTCTTTGTAGCCCTTATAAATCTATTCCAAAGAAACTTTAACTTCATTGAATGTTTACAATACTTTTTATCACTTGACATTGCTTAGAATATCACTTGTACAAATTATTTCAGACCAAACAAAATGTAAACACGCTTCTACAAAGGCAGCCATTTTGATTGTTCCGTACAAGGATCGTTCATTGTAAGAAAACTGTTAGAGAGGCTTGCATTGTCGCTAAATACATGTGTATGTGTGAAAACACAAATTTCTGATTTTTTTTCTTCCAAAACCAGAAAGACCTGACCATCTTTGAGCCATCATAACTCGGATACTACTTATCCGATTCTAAAAATGTATACAGAAACGTGTAGGACATTGATTAATCTTTAATTTGATACCAAATTTGTTTCGAAATTCAAAAATCACATTTTTTCGAGATTCTCTGCTAGAACTACCCCCTTAAGTAATCATCATCAGAAACTGTGTTTTCTTTTTAACTTATTAAATAGATATTTTACATTTTTAGTTGTCTAAAAATGTTTGATGCTCATCTGCTTTCAAGGCCATCTTGGTGATGCATATTTTAAATTGTTGAATATTCTTCATTTATTAGCAAGTCCTTTACAGAATGTCGCTCTCTTTACGGCACACCTGAAAGTATACCTTCCCCTAGCCAGCTCTCTGGACTCATGTGCTTTCAATGCCAATGCATCTTTTATGTCCTGTATCCACCATGCAGTGGTCAACCCCTGCCTCGCTTTTCAGAAAATGCACCCTCCATCACCATCTTTTCCAAGCCACGACTGATGTGGCAAAAATACTTCAGGATGCTGTTTATTAGCCAGTTCTCCTTGATGTTAAACTCATTTAAAATGTTGATGTTTTTTCTGCTCTTGATCCATGGTATTCTAAGAATTGTTCTATAACATTTTAATTTAAAAGCTCCAATCTTTTTCCTCAGTGACTGAGAGAGAGTCCACAGAAGTTCCCACAGGAAAAATGCATGATCTCAAGATTTTTACTTTCTAGTGCTTTGCCATAGGTTTTTTTATGCTGTTAAATCTCTGCATTGCTAATGCAAGTCTTCTTCTGACTTCTTTTGAGCAGTCGCCATTGTTGTTCACTAAAGAGCCCAAGTATTCTAAATATGTTACATTTTCTATTTCTTCATTTTCAATTGTGATTTGGTTGGTGTGCTGTATTTGCTGAGGACATAGTTTTTTTTTTTTTTTTTTTAATTCAGAAAAAAAGATTCACTTTTTCGTTATGCTTTTTGACAGCCAGAATTAATTTCTCTAAACTTTGTAAAACTGTTGGAAAGGAGAACTGTGTCATCTGCATATCTTAGTTCTGGGATAGGATTACCTCCAATTTTTAGTGGAACAAATCTCTCACATGCATCACCGCTAATCACATTTCTCTTAACAGTTTCAGCTAAGTAATGCTGCCAAAAAATGTCAGCAACCAGTTTTTAATTTGATTGAATAAGTGTCAAAGTAAGAAAAACGTATCTAATCATTCAGCAAGTCATGTTGTGCTATTTCTTACACCTAGGGCTCAAAACATCCAGTGTCAGCAGGCATTATTTTGTTCAAAGTCAAAACATCAGTTCTATCAAAGTCAAAACTGTGAGTATACGCATCTTCCCTGTAGCAGCATATGTGAGTTGCTCCATAATGAACTGCAATGGGGACTGTTCAACAGAATTCAAAAGGAGTATGGCCACAGCAATGCAAAGATTAAACAGCATTAAAGGTCTATGGTTAAAAACCAGCAAGGAGATTTAAGTCAAACTTTTGAGAGCGAGCATCTTTCCTGTAGCAACATATGTGAGTTGCTCCATAATGAACTGCAATGGGGACTGTTCAACAGAATTCAAAAGGAGTATGGCCACAGCAATGCAAAGATTAAACAGCATTAAAGGTCTATGGTTAAAAACCAGCAAGGAGATTTAAGTCAAACTTTTGAGAGCGAGCATCTTTCCTGTAGCAACATATGGATGTGAGTCATAGACTATCTTGCAGTCCAAAAGGAAGAAAATAGGGGCTTTTAAGCTTAAATTCTATAGAAAGATTCTTGCCTGGCTCGCTAGCGTAGTTGGCTAAACCGGATTGCGCGGTGACTGGGTGATGAACTTCTTGTGGTCCGGGTTCACGCCCAGGGGTAGGCAGAAAAGCCACATTTCTCCCAGATTTAAGGTATTTATCATGGAATCAAGGCCGAAAGGTTGCGATATCCATAATACCGAGCCTAAGGGTTAACAACTCATGGCTTCTGATTCTTAGAATCAGGGGGAGGGGAAGAAGGGAAACAATTCAGTGATTCTGGTTCTTTTTTTTTTTCTGGAATTAAAATTACTCATGGAACAGTGCACTTAATCTGGTCCTGTGATTCTTGCGGAATTCACAACCATAACATAAATGCATGCACCCTGCAGACATATCACATTCTACTTCACATCTTCTGGGTGCCAAGCTGCACATTCATGATCATCATCTTTACTACTCTTTATCTCACTTCAACAATGACAACAGCAGCAATATAGACAACTTCTTTTTAGCATTCTGCAAAAAATCCACCACTGCTGCCCGCACTGACCACTTTTGCAGTGTAGGCGTGTCCCTGAGCCTGAGAATTTAGGGCCACATGGCTTGTGCTGTCACGATGTACTGTGCAGGTTACAATTTTACTTTTTTTCTCTGACAGAAAAAAATCCCCAAATTTGCCAAGGATTCAAACACAGGTCTCTTTGCACTCTTAACCATTTGGCCAGTCGCTCCTCCTTTTTTAGCATTCACCAATGGTAAATTCCTGTGGAAAATTCTGGTTGTTTGCTAGCTTCTGCACTTTAGCCTTGTTCCAGAACTTGAGTCTTGTGTTCACATCCACTTTACAGGTCTGGCTTACTTATGAGTAGACCACTGGTTCATCTTAAGTAGATGCACTCTGACTTTAAGGGAAGCCTCGACAACAATGCTCATTTACCTTGACTCCTTCTCCAGTAAGGGCAGAGCAGGCCTGGATCTGCCATTCCCTGTCCCTGATTGCGTTAAGGTTCAAACCTTCAGCAATCTCACTGGCCTTTGCTGCCGTCAGTAGGTCTTGCTTGTTGGCAAAGATCAAGACGGGAACCCCCGCCAACTTCTCTTCTTCTAACAGTTCTGTCAGCTCCTGGTGTTAAGACCAATATAATTAGAAACCATAGGAAATATCTCAAAACAATATGGCTACAGAGGTGACATTCACAAAAACAAACATGCATACAAAATAGGTACCAGAAAGTGTTCTGGGAAGTAAAGGCGGTTGGCATGATATCTGACATTCCACCCATCCAGTTATTTGGTCTATTAAAGTATATAATTACACTCAATATATGATGAGGCAACGTGAAGCCCATAACAATGTAGTTATATATGAACATTATATAAAAATAACAGAAAAATGAGACGAGAAAAGAATAAGAAGAAAACCTAGCCTTGGAAATTATACTAAATAGCCATTTTAAAGGTGAGAAGATCATCTGTACTGCACATAGTTACATTCCATTCAGTTGAGTCCCTGCGTAGAGCAGCTGGACACCCACCAGGAGCATCACACACAGCTGGAACTCTACAGCTCTAATGATGATCCCCAGAAATCTCTCAATCACCGACACTTGCCAGGCCAGTCCTGCAGTCAAACTCAGAACTTTACGAAGCAAACATTGAACCCTTTGCCTCAAACTCTGACTGTAATCAAACACGCCATGTATGTGTTGCAAAGAGGGAGAAAATCAGGAAGGGAATACGGGCAAAACATTCCTGCAGATACAAATTCCTTCAGGTGGAGAGTTTGTACAGAACCTATACTGAACTTTATAGACAGACAACAGATCGAATGGTGTGGCCATGTAACAAGATTGGCACCAAACAGGGCATCATAGAGAGCAATGTTATTCAAATACAAAGATAAGAGTTTCAGATGTTGACAATACAGAAGATGGACCACAGAAGTATCAGAGACACTGAAAAGTACTACATACGAAGTGAACAGAAGGGCCCATCCTAGAGATCTCTTCCTGCCCTGATGCTGTGAGGCATTCCAGGAGTAGAGGAAAGAAGAAGAAGAAGAAGAGCGATCCCATTCTCTTCTTAATGAAGTTTTTTTCTTACTGCAAATTGGCCCTTGCTAGTCACATGATCATCGCTATGAACTGTGATTCCCAGACTACCATACATATATATAACAATACTGTCTGGGAATTAGGAAAGTCATCAATAAAGCATTCAGATCCATGAGATAGTAATTCAGTCACATAAGAAAACACAGATTGTTGTAGTGGAAAGTTGAGGGTACACGGGCAAGAGAATGACAATGTTACATGTGGGCACACAACTTCAGGTGATGGAACTGGAAGAAGGAGGTGCAGCTGAACAATAAAAATGCATAATTAATGTTAATGCAAAGTTAGCAGTTCTTTTACTGATAGACTGATTGATTTTGATATGCTATCATCTTTAAAGACACGCAGATGGTACCTCTTGAAATCAGTGCTGATAATAACAGCCTATTTTAAGAAATGATTTAACTACTCTTCCTATGCCAAATACTGCATTGCGTATGGTGAGTTGCTGCGTCTGTGTATTCCGCATTGCCTGGTATGTAAATATATATTTTAAGTTTAGTCTGTGCATACTTAAGCAATCTGGCTACATACTTTAAAATACACAACAGTGTATGTTGTCTCTTTAAAAGTACTCTATGTTTTTTTCCTTATAGCTATTATCCTTTTTTTGTGTGTGCACATTTTCTATGAAATCACTTTGAACTGAAAGAGTTAATCATAAGTGATATTTTTTAGCGTCCCAAGTAACTCAGCTAGCAGTGTATAAGTATTAGATGTTGTCATGGTATGGCTACAGACTTTAATCAACGTTGAATAGTTAATTTTTTTAATATTTTAGTTTATTGAGTTGAGTTGATTCAAGAACCGACATCACAGCACTCGGGGCATTCCAAAAAATGCTCCGTCCTCATCTTCAGCAACCAGTGAAGAGTTCTGATACTAATGGTGCCAGTAGCATTCTGATTAAACGTCCGTCTTGCCTTTCCTCTGAGCCTCGAACATCTGCCAGAACCTCTTGTCACTCCCCCCTGCATCAATCTCGCCAGACTGTGGTGATCCATCTGCTCCTCCGAACTGCACATGCTCTCCTACAAGGCACTAACCACTTCTGCCTTATCATGCATCAGTATTCCACTAAGTTGTGCAGAGCCAGCCAGTATGTCTGCCTGTTCATTTCCCAACACACTGGTGTATCCAGGTGAAAAAATCTAGACAATACTCCTCACCCGTGTCCTTCGCGGTGAAGCATGCCACTCTGCACGAAGCATACCTGTTCTGACCTTCCTCAGCATGCTTTCTGAGTCAGTTACAATCACGATGTGTGTGTGTGTGTGTTGTGTTCTTTAGCCAGTGGAAAGTTGCAGTGACCCCCTCCACCTCCATTCTCAAGCTGGATGTTGTGGTATCATATGCTAGGCTCTCCTGCACCAAATGTTGACCATTAACTTTTGCTAAGCAGCCCCAAGTACTTCTTTTGCCTCTTGACACTGAACCGTCTTTGTAAATGATCAAATCCTCTAAGCGAGCATTATTCTGGAATTAATTGCTGAATTTCCACCTCTGTAGCACCTGCTGGCCAGTCTCTGTATTCCTGGCTCAGCGTGATTATGACTCTTCACAAGTCTGACTGTTCAGCTGGCACTTTGACCCACTCCTCTCCTCGCCTAATGTTCTTAAGGATGCAAACCTCTCTGATTGTGTCCTCTACCTGAGCTATCCATGACTTTCCTCTTATCAGCCTCTACTGTGCCCACTGCTTCATGCAAAGGGTGATCTGTGTCTACAGCTACCTTTAGATATGACTTTAATCTGCAGCACTTTGTGCCTACCTGCAACAGTTGGCAAACCAAGGATGTATCGCATACAGGCCACTGGGGTGTCTCTGGTGCAACCTAGAATGACCCGCATAGCTGCATTGTATGCGCTCTAGTTTGTTCATCTGACTCTTTGAGATAGTAAGCAGTCCCAGGCCATAATCAACCACTGACAGGATCAGGTGCTGATATAGTGTGAAGAGCATTCTCTGCTCTATGACAATTGCAGCCATAGTCTTAAGTGCACTAAGTCCTTTTTGGCATCTTGTCACAACAAGATGCCAAATTTATTTAATTAATTAATTTAATTAATTATGCATTATGTTAAATATATTTGTTCGAACAATTTCATAATAATAAATACACACAAAAAAGAAACATGAAATTGGGTTATAGAGAAACACTTATATGACTAATTCATCATAATGTGCGATGCAATTTATAATACTTTTTTGACAGTAGTATATGGCAACCATAGTAACACAGTAGCTGAATATTTGGCTGCCATCCCAAAGGTCTAGGGTCTGGATCCGCATCAAGGCTGATTTTTATAAAATGACTTTGGCTCCCAGTTCAACCCTGCCTAAAATGAATACCAGAAAATGTCCTAGAAAGTAAAGACAGCCAGATGTTGACCACACGTGAAGCCTGATGGCTACTTTGTGTATTTAATGCATGTGGATGCTAACAGAAAGAAGAGGAAAAATACTAATATCTTGAAAGATTTGAACATCAAGGAAGATTAGCTAATGAACAGCATCCTGTCTCAGAAGCTGAAATATTTTGGTCATATCAAGCGCCACAACAATTTGGAAAAAATAAGAGCAGAAGGCAAGGTACCAGGAAGGAGAGGCAGGGGCTGATCAACACAAAGATGGGCATGGACTATAAGTGACTACTTGAGTATGAAAGTGCATGAGATGGGAGAACTGGTGAGAGACCGGGTTTCTTTCATGCAGACCGTAATGAGAGCGACGTTCTGCAAAGGACCTGCTACATGATGAAGATGATGGATGCTAATAGCTTTGCTGAGACTGTCCTCTGGGTCAGTCTGTATTTGTCCACAAGGGACAGTGATCGACATTCTGTGTGGTTTTCACTGGTCAAGGAACAGAGCAAGTATGTGGTGACCTGTCTGCTATGAAGTTGGAACTGTGATGGCCTGATTACCTGGCCACACCATCCATCGAGTGCTGATTGGTCTATAAGCATCTGGGTCTAGCACCATAATGGAGAGGAGGGGTGGGTAAGGTCAAAAGGGTCTTTACCCCCTCCCCTCCCTCCCTCCATGCACCCAATGATAAATACACACACAAACGAGATAAACTAAAAAGCTAGCTAATGTAGAGTTACTCACATCACCAGTTTCCTCAAATCTTTTCCTGTCAGAGCTATCAATAACGTATATCTGAAAGATGAAGTGGTTACAGATTAAGTTAGACTCTACATATATCTGAAAGGTGAAGTGGTTACAGATTAATTTAGACTCTACGTATATCTGAAAGATGAAGTGGTTACAGATTAAGTTAGACTCTACGTATATCTGAAAGATGAAGTGGTTACAGATTAAGTTAGATTCTACGTATATCTGAAAGATTAAGTGGATACAGATTAAGTTAGACTCTAAGTATATCTGAAAGATGAAGTGGTTACAGATTAAGTTAGACTCTACGTATATCTGAAAGATGAAGTGGTTACAGATTAAGTTAGACTCTACGTATATCTGAAAGACAAAGTGGTTACAGATTAAGTTAGACTCTACGTGTATCTGAAAGATGAAATGGTTACAGATTAAGTTAGACTCTACATATATCTTAAAGATGAAGTGGTTACAGGTTAAGTTAGACTCTACGTATATCTGAAAGATGAAGTGGTTACAGATTAAGTTAGACTCTACCTATATCTGAAAGATGAAGTGGTTACAGATTAAGTTAGACTCTAGGAAAATTCAGATGATATGTCAACATTTTAATAATAATAGTTTAATAATAACATAGGCATTGAACTTCCTGGTATATAAGATGTTTTTTTCCCAATTAGTTCTACAAAAAGATTATAAGGCACCCTCTGCTGAAAGAATATTAAATATAGTAAAAACAGTCAAATTTGTGCCACAGTTTTAGTGTTTACTGATTAGAAAGGATTATCATAACAGTACTCCAGACAGATCCATTTGTGCTCCTATCTCCTCCTCACAAGCTTCACAAATGTAAAATGACCAAATGACACCTGTTCTGCGTTGGTTAATGAAACATCTTGTCCCCTTAGTGAAATGTTCATTTCTTGCAGCTGCAGGCTGCACTCCCATGTCCATCAGTCTAGACAGGGATACAGAGTCATGTTCTTTGGCATGCTCCTGGATATGGTAAGTGCAGCGCATGGCATTGATAACATCACTTCTGTCCAGTACTGGAACAGCCATAGCAACCGCAGTGTCAGCAAGATCGTCTGCACGCTCGTTCCCTTGAACACCCGCATGACCTGTCACAAAGATGAAGGTTAGGGCAGCTATTCATGAAGTGCTTAGTCTTGCAATCCATTCTTGCCTGATACACTAAATCTTGCTATATTCAAGGTGGACTTAGATATTGGTAAGCTTATAACAAGTCAAATAAAGGATTCTTTTCCACAGGTATACTAGGCACATAGTGCCAGACCTCTATTTTACAGACCAATCATCACTCAAGTGATGTGGCTAACATCATGCCAGTCACTTTTACTTCCCAGTTCTTTGCCTGATACCCATTTAGACGAGGTTGACCTGGGAGATTTGGTCATTTTTTTTAAAGAAACTCAGCTAGAAGTGGCTCTGAACCCATAATCTTTGGGCCTGCTGCTACAATACAGTAGTTCTCTGTAAGTGGGCTTATAGTGGTCAAATCTGGGATACTAGTTGGTCATATATTGGTCAGTGCTTGTCACAGGTCATGGTAGCCCATTAGAGGTAATCCTCCAAGGAAGAGTATGGATAAACAGAGACAATGGTTTACAATGGTTTTAACAACGGATCAACATCATGGCACAAAGCTAGTAACCCTAAGTGCTCCATTCTATTTCTAACTCAATCCCGAGTCTGAAGAATCTCAGTGCAGTACACAAAATCCGTAGCAACAGCGAGGATCCTGAAATACTTTGGGTAGATTTTTAACTTCAAATTTTGCCTGGGCAGCACCGTTAGGCTACTCTTTTTGATTTCCAACTGTTAAAGGATTTTTCTACCTGCACAACAATACACATGGGCGTGATATTACTACCCATAGACCAGATAAAATTTACTAGAAATTCACATAAAAAAATCCCAGCCTTCACCAGGGTCTGAACTCGAGGCGGACGCCATGTCTTGAGACCACTCAGCCCCCGGATAAACAGAGAAGAGGAAGGCAGATAAATTCTGAGTGATATTAGTCGGTACTCAAGACTTCAGCTTCACTTGCCATTTCTTTTCTACATAATTTTACAAATTAACATTTTTCCTTGACTATTCTGGTGGCATTTTTAGCGTCAAGCAAGGAAACACTTTCTGGAATTGTATGTGTTGTGTGAAGTGAAGAACCCTTCTCCATGCCTTTAGGCGTACTGAGCACATAGGGCTGGACCTATATTTTATAAACCAATCAGAATTTGGTTTGTGAGGTGGTCAACATTATGCTGGCCACCTTTACTTCCCAGGACTGTTCCTGGTACCCACTCAAGGCTGGGTCGACCTGGGAGTCAAGGTCATTTTTGAAAGGGAAAAAAAGGGTCTGGCTCCGACAGGACTAGAACCCACAACCTTCTGATCCGCAGGTGAGTGACTAGCCACTACACCAGTGCAACTCCCTGTGTGTTGTGTGGATGGTGTTAATTATTCCCTCCTGCTGATCAACCAGCAGCAGAATCTGCCTGTAGATTCCTAAGCTTTTGATGAACCTCCTGCTATTATGATCTAATGGGAATTTTTTTTACCTTTTAAATAACCAATAATACAGTGAAGTAAACTTACCAACAAATCTGTGTTCTCAAAATAGTTTTTCCAGTACGGCCGAATCCGCCGCTGTCCACCAATGTCCCACACATTAAGCTTGAAGCCTTTTGATTGCACTGATTTGATATTGAAACCCTTAGGACAGGAGCAACCATGTTGGAAAATGTTAAATTAGTTTGGGTTTTTGAGTGCAAAATAGCACTGGCTGAAATGGTTTAATCATAAAAAGAGGAAGATAATATTCATGAAAACAACACACTAACAATATATGTTTCAGACAGATTTTGTATGTTACAAACGATCCAACCACCATCATAAACATCAACAGGGGCAGTCCATTAAGTAACCCACACCAGAGGCTAGAGAGATGGGCAGTTTTTTTCAAGAGCTTCTCAACCATGCAAGCAATGTAGACAGTTTACATTTTGCATACACAAGTAGCAGCCATGTCAGAAATTGTGAAATAGGTAAGGTTTTGCAAGCACTGATTTCTTCTTTTTCTCTTCCACCTTGTACCTCGTTGAAGTATTGATGCAATGTTCGTTGATGAGCTCTGTCAAGAGCACTATTAAGACTGATGTTCATTTCTATAAGGCTGTTCCTAATGTCATCACTCCATATTTTCCGAGGTCTTCCACTCGCTCTATACCCGTTATAACGTTTTAGTGTGGCTCGCTGTGGCAGATAGTACCATGGCATTCTTATTAGGTGTCCAAACCACTTCATTTGCTGTTCTGACTAACATGTGTCAATCAAGATCACCTTCACGGATACCAGATAATTTCCATTTTTAGATGTATGCACAGTCTTTTACTTTGCAGAATACATGAGAGGTTATAGTACTGTTAACCATTTGTTTTAGAAATGTACTTTCATGCCATGATGCCAAGCTGTCCAAAATATTTTCTTCTGGCCTCCTCTGATCTTTTTCCCCTCTAACGTTTCCATTGTCTTGAGGCACTCCAGTTTTCCCCTACTCCAATTGTTTCACTGTCATGATGTACTCAAGTTTTCCCCTACATAGAAGATGCCCGAAGAATTCAGACTGTGTTCTTCTACTGTGGGCACACAATTCTCATCAAAAATTCTTTTCCTTTTTTACAAGATACCCTTCATTTCCAAAGTGATGTGATGATAGTTCTTCATTACACTTTTAATCTATCTATGATGTGTTTTTTTTTAACCATTCTTTCATAAAACCACATCTCTGCAGCTTCAAAATTTAACTAATCAGTTTATTGACCATGATTCACTTTTATACATCATAAATGTTCTATTTCAGGGTTACTGCACTGGCTACACAATGGTAGAATCCAGCCCGAGAGGCCTAGCAAGTGGCCTGCAGATTATTGCCAGTTGTACTGTATCAGTAACCATTCTAAGCCGCTGGCCAGTGATGATTCCCATTTTCAATATTTTGACCCCCTGGGTAAAGTATTTGAATAGCTCTGTTCTATATAAATCTCTCAAGAACTCTTTTTCTCACATCAAATGGCAAAGATAGATTTATTGCATAGTATATTGTTCATTCTATGAAATTATGCTTCTGCGTCAGCTAAATTACTGTGGAAATTATTTTGGTTTTTAGCTCAAACAAACACCTATGAACTTAATGAGAATATATTCAAAATTCAAGCTTTAAAGTTGAGAGAATAACTCCATTTGGTTGTAACTCATATAGTCTTTTCACATGGTCTTTTTCCAAAGAACAGCTAGCTGCCAGTTGAGAGCATCACACAAAGCAGAAACTCTGCAGTTTCGGCAACAATTCCTCGGGTTATCCATAACAACTGCACTTCTGAACAGAATGACACGATCCATAAAATAAACCCACACCCTTCAGAGTATATGTCCCATGACTTAACCACTGAGACCCCAATATGTGTGTGTGTGTGTGTGTGTGTGTGTGTATATATATATATATATTGTATATTTTATATATATACAAAATGAAAGCTCATCATTACCTGTGTGGGTGTAATATGTGATATATCCTCTGACGCCAACACTTTGAGTAAAGTGGTCTTTCCTGCATTATCAAGGCCCAGTAGAAGTATTCTGAGCTCAACATCAGGGTTGGACCTTAACTTTCTGAGTAGAGAAAGTAAGCCCTAGAAGAGAATGTATAGATTACCATAAAATACCTCTTCAGTCTAACCCCAAACTACCTATGATGAATCCCACCCAACATGCAATATGTCCTTACATTTTTTACAATGGACCAGAGCATACTAAGAAAATCTGGCTTGCACAATATTCAGCTTGTCTGAAAGTAATATACGCATGGTTTTTCCTACTGGTTATTTATAAAAACACAAGCATTTTCTGCAAATCTGTTTTGGTACTTAGTGAGTAAAGAAGGAAGGGAAAAGCCCTTTAATTTCAAAGGAGTTCTTTTGAATCATTCCTTGAATGTTAATTATGTAATGTTATGATAAATGTCATTGCATATTGGGTAGCAGCAATCCCAAGATACATCTACTAACTGTTCCATGAGATGTTGGTCAGAATTTCACCTAGCTTGACCCCAAAATGGCACAGACATTCTTAGACTTGCTACTCCCAGGCCATAAAATTGGATCCGCATCAGAAACTCACTGTTATCCACTTGCTTAATTCATATAGCACTGACTGTCAAATCTGTCCCATCTTTCTTCTTGCTCACATTAGTCCATTTACTTGTCATTTGTCACTTGTCATGAAATGATTCGAAGTCGCGTTAGCGCAGTTAATAGGAGGCTCACTTTCAAATCCAGCTGCGACTCGCTGCAGCCACAGTCAGTGTTTGAAACTGGGCGGTTCCCGGGATTCACTCAGCCTCTAGGAAATGGGTACCAGAGTTGACACTCTGTGGTAAATGAAGGAACGTCGCTGTAGCTACAGAGTTACGTGTGGATGGCAACACAGGCCGACATTTTCTTATCAGCAGTCCCTACTGGTGGCAGAGCACTTAATGTTTATAACTGTGTGCAATGACGCTGGTTCACATCTCCCGACTTTACCTTTTAACTTTTTTGTATCCGTGTATTTGTGTGCCAAGGACAAACTAAATGTTGGCTACATGACCAGGAGATATCAGTTATTATCTCCACACAAATAAAATAATTATTGTTTTTAAAGCTTTTTTCTTTCTTTCTAATACAACAGCAAGCTGGTAAAACATTCCCACCAGAAAATGACAATGCTGCTTCAAACTTTGTAAAGATATGTTTTGATCTGGAAGTAGGTTTTGTCAACATTTCTGAACCCGCAGTGAGATGAGTTAATTCAAAAACCAAAATCACAGCACTTGGTGCATTCAAATAGGTGCTCCGTTTCTATCTTCAGCAGCCAGCACAGAGTTCCAATACCAATGGTGCCTATTGCATTCTGATTATACGTTCGTCTTGCCTTTCCTCTGAGCGTCGAGTATGACCAGATCGACTTGTCATACCCCGCTGCATCACTCTCACCAGACTGTGGTGATCCATTTGTACACATTCTCCCACAAGGCATTAACCACGTCTGCCTTATCGTGTATCAGCATTACACTAAGTTGTGCAGTGCCAGCCAGTCTGTCTGCCTGTTCATTTCCCAGCACTCCTGCATACCCGGAGAAAAAATCTAGACAATGCTCTTCACCCGTGACATCCGAAGTGAAGCATGCCCCTCAGCACAAAGCATGCCTGTCCTCATCTTCCTCAACCTGCAGTGAGCATACCAAATCTTTCTTTCTTTTAACAATTCTCCACTCTTTATCCAGCAGCTGTTTGTCACCTTGTCTAGTTATTTCACTGTCAATATTCTTCATGATCAGAACAGAGGACAACTCATGTAATCCAGTTATATTAAATGCCATATTTTAGATTTTAAAAACTGTATGCTATCAGTGCAGACATTGTCATTGCCCTTAGAGAGATAGGATGTTCTCAGGATTTTGGAAGCAATGTGTCCACCTCACTGCTAAGAATACATGAACTGGGAGTAAAGATCGGCACAGCCTAGCATGAGAAGCACACCAGGACGCACACAAAATCTTGTTAACCAACACTTACACTAATACTCGCGTGACGCTGATGAATTTGTTGAGAGGGGAATCTGAGCACCTATGGATGTGTCCGGAGTGCTGTGAAGATAATCTAACTCATAACCAGATTATCTCTCTTCTTCTGCCCTTCTATCCCCCAATGGAGAATAGGTCCTCAACCAACTCAAGCCAAGTCGTTCTATCCTTCGCCATTACATGGAGCATTCCCCATGTCCTTCCCATCTTTCTAATTTCATTCTCCAGCTCTCTTCTCCATGTGTTTTTTGGCCTTTCTTTATTCATATGGCGCTGTGAGTTCCAATGCAAAGACATTCTAGTTATGCTGTTCTCCTGTTTTCTAAGTGTGTGCCCTATCCAACACCAGCGTCTTTTCCTCACCTCTTGGTCCACTGCAGCCTGTTTAGTTCTCTCCCAAAGCTCTACATTAGTTATTCTATTATACCATTTGATGCCCTCTATTCTGCGCAGGCACCAGGTAATTAATGTCTGTGATTTATTAGTAATTGCCTTAGTTGTTCTCTATGTTTCCGGCCCATGCAAAAGTACTGATTTGACATTAGAATTAACAATTTTAAGTTTAGTATTTCTTTTAATTTCTTTTGACCTCCACAAATTCCCTAGTGCTATGAAAGCTCCTCTTGCCTTTTGCCTTCTTATTTCAATATCTCTATCAGTTCCACCATCTTTATCTACATTACTGCCCAAATAGGTGTACGTAGATACTACAGTTTCGACAATTTGCGGTCTTTTCGGCAATTTCCGTTACCCGGAAACCGTTCGCAACTTGTTTCGGGAAATCTCGGCTGGTTTCCGGATGGGTCCAAATCTCTCATAAAATTTTGCCATTGGTTGGAATTTGGACCAGCTATAAATAGCTGAAAACAGCAGGAGGGAACCCCATTAACAGTGCATGTCTACGACAGCCGGACGTCCTCTGTTTTTCTGTTAGTCATCAGTTTGATTGAAAATAGCGGTAAATTCGAGGTTGGCTTTAGGCTTTAACTGTTACTCGTCCTGGTAATGCTTGTTATAATTGAATTCTCCATCCAATTTTACATTTGTATATAAAATTTCTTTCTGGACGGTGGCTAGGTAGATGTACAGTGACATTTTTCAGGCAATCGCTGGCTCAGCCAGTGGCTGTGTCTCATTGCCTGCCATCTTGTCCAATGACAGTCCAATGTAAACAAAGCCGATACAGAACTGCGCAGTAGGTTGCGCAGACTGCGCAGAAAAAAAACTTCTTGTTTCTGGGTCACAAGTTTTAGCGGCTGTTTCTTTCATCTCATCCCACAAAAACCTACATATCTCAGCTCAGAAATGACATACAAGCCTAAATGAGGTACCATTGGAAAGAAATTGTTTACAGCTATCTAACTGTGCTGGTTTTATTGGTGTAGAGGGCATTTTAAATATTTTACTGAAGTAGCTAGTGTACGACTCCACGTCTTGGAGTGGGATGCCATTAACAGAAGCAACATTACTATTTGCCTCATTTATTCTCATTATCTTTGTTTTTCCTTTATGGATTTCAGACCTAGCAGCTGTGATCTCGCAATCAAGCATATATTTAATTTATCTTGCATCTGATTCCATGAATGGGATAGAAAAATAGGCACTCTTCCGAATACCGGTCCCAAATTATTCACTGCCCAAAAACATCCCTTAGGAGGTTATGTAGTAAAACCGTTTAGGTCATCAAGATCAGTTTCCATTTGTGCTGTTATTGCTCGCTGGATATCAATGTTTAGACGTTAAGTTAAGCGCCGTGGGGAGGAATCGTTTTCGATCCATAGAAGCGACGTGGAAAAGAATAGATTTAGATCCATTGTTTAAGCGGCTTGGGGAGGAATAGAGTTCGATCCATTGAAGCGACGTGAATGATTTTTGATCCATTGTTTACATTACCCATTACTGCCCTTGCGGGGGTCCAGGTCCAAATATTTTAGGGGAAAGAAAAAATAGATCCACTGCCACATAAAAGTTGTAAAAGGCGACTAAATAGGACTGCTGAAATCGGATGCTTTGGGACAAAGGGCGCAGATATGGCAGTCTAGCTGTAAACCACAACACAACGTGAGAACCATACTTTCAAGGGTGAACGAAAAGAACGAAGTTTACCTACCCGTGACATTATCATTGAGCATCTCGCCGCCGTTATCGCAGCCTAGCTGTGAACCACAAGAACAAGCGAAAGGCGCATATTTCGCAGCCTAGCTGTAAACCACAACACAACGTGCCAACCGCCCTGTTAAGGGTTAAAAAATGACCTCTTGAGGCCCTGAATAGGATTTTTTAATGGAGAATAATTTGGGACCGGTATTCGGAAGAGTGCCGAAGAATATCATCAAAGAAGTCCAGATCATCAAGCAAGACGTACTTTTAACCAGATTATGACCAGTACCATCAGTACTGGAACTCTGCGCCGGCTGTTGAAGATAAGGACGGAGCACGCATGGGAATGCTGTGAGTGCTGTGATGTCAATTCTTGTCTCAACTAAACTGAACAACTCAACACAAGAGAAATCATTACTGAAAAAGAGGTCTTAATTTGGGCCAATAAAAATCAAAGAAAATCGTGCTTCCACTTATCATTACTTCGTCGTTACTAATAAACTAGAAATAACAGATCCATGCAAATGTAACAAATATATCGAATGGCCTCAGTTATTCTCACCATGACTGTGTAAACGTGTTACAAGTTGTCACTTCTGTCCAGCCCGACGCTGCCTGTAGCTTCTCTGTAACTATGTGTGATGTCATCAGTTTGTGTGCACATCAGACTGTTCGTGCTTCCCAAACGTGGGAGAGCCAACGAGAGAGGTTCACTTTGTATGAGAGCAGATTCTGTAGCAGGATATATTAACTGTTTCAAGTCGTCGTGCAGAGAAAACTCTGTATTACTGCCCTCTACCTGCTGCTCTCATATTTGTGGGTGCCATTTTAATAGAATAGTTGCATGTAAAGCAATATAATAATGTGACGTGAAACAAATTGGTTGCTCACCTAAACTTGAAAAAGTTTATTATTAATTACAATTACAAATTATAGTTAAATTTATATTAGCGTTAGCTTCAGTCAGCAGCAGTAGGTAGAAGTTATAGTTGTTGATGCAGTAGTAGTAATAGTAGTTGTTGTAGTAATAGTAGTAGTTAGGCATTCTTTCCAATACCGGTCCCAAATTATTCACTGTTTAAAAAATCCCAGTAAGGGTCTCAAGAGGTCATAAAAAGTAAAGTAAAGGACCCTTTTCCACGCCATCAGGCGTATAGGGCATATAGGGCTAGACCTATATTTTTATAGACCAATCGGCACAAGATGGGTGATGTGGTCAGCATCATGCTGGCCGCCTTTACTTTCCCGGGACTGCACCTGGTCACCACTCAAGGCTGGGTCGACCTGGGAGCAAAGGTCATTTTTGAAAAAAGTCCAGCTCCGCCAGGGAGCAAACCCACGACGAGCGTCTACCCGCTCGGCCACGGCAACTCCCTAAGAGGTCATAGAGTTAAAAATATAGAACAGGAACACTATGAACTATGCTTCGTGTTATTATATAATTTAATTTTGCCAAACTCTCGAGTCTTCAGTAGCACAGTTGTAAGTATTGTGCCTGTCACACGGTTGACTAGTGTTCGATTCCCTGCCAGGTGATTTTTATTTAGTATTTTTAGCCCTGTTATGGTTTACAGCTAGGCTGCCATATCTGCGCCTTTCGCCTCAACATTTCTGCTTTCAGCAAAGTCCTAATTAGTTGCCTTTTACAACATTCTTTTTAGGTGGCAGTGGATCAGTTTATTTTCCCCTCAGACATGCGGCCCTGAAACCCAAAAGGCGAGTAACGGGTAATGTGAACAGTGGATCAGAAACTATTCCTTTAATGGATAGAAAAACTACTCCTCCCCACGTCGCATAAACTGTGTATCAAAATCCATTTCTCTTCACGATGCTTCAATGGATTGAAAACTCCTCCTCCCCACGTTGCTTAGCTTAATGTCCAAACATTGCTATCCATCGAGCAGTAACGTCAGGTGTGGAAACTTATGATGCTGGCCTAATTGTTTTTACTACATAACCTCTTGAGGCTCTCAAAGGGTCGTTTTTCGCAGTAAATAATTTAAGACTGGTATTCGAAAGAGTGCCTGGTAGTTGTAGTAGTTATGAGTTCAGAACCTACTGCTTTATAGCACTTGTAACTCTGTCATTATTGCAAGCACTCTGTCCCCATCTTCAGTAGCAAATGCAGAGGTCCAAATCAAGTGGTACCACTAATAGTCTAATTGCATATATCTGTCACCCTTCCCCTGAGTGTTGATCATCTGCCGGATCCCCTTACTATCTCTCGTTGCACAACTCTTTTCAGACCCTGATTATCTCTTTGTGCCTCAGCACTATTTACTCTACCCCAAAGGGCACTTACAACATCTAGCTTGTCATGCGTCAGTTTGCTACCAAGTGGTGCAGAACCACCTAATTTATCTGCCTGTTAATTTCTAACACACCGGCGTCTCTGGAGAAAACATCCAAAGGACACAAACTACCTGGATGATCTCTGAAGCAATGCTTGCCACTCTGCATGGATCATACCTGTCTCTGCCTTTCTCAGCATGCTTGTGAGTCAGTTACAATTCTGACATATGTACAGCTGGTTCTCAAGCCATCGGAAGGCTGCACTGACTGCTGACACCTCCATTCTCAAACTAGATGTTGTGGTATCATATTCCAGGTTTTGTTGCATTAAGCAACATCCATTCGCTTTTGCTTTGAATACCCATACACTTCTTCTGCTTCTTAACACAGCGCTATCTGTATCAATAATCACATCACCTGAGCCAAAATTGTCATGAATAATTTATTGAAGTTCTGATTCTGATGCCCTCACTTGCCAGTCCCTACGCTTACAACCTAATGTGATTAGAACCCTACACAAATCTGATTGTTGCTCAGAAACTTTGACTGAATCCTCTACTCACCGACAAATTGTCAAGCCTGCATACATGTCTAAATGTGTCTTCAGCTTGCGCCATCCAAGAGCTTCCCCTTTTAAGGTCGGTGACCTTTAGCTCCATCTAGGGCTTCATACAGGAGGTGTTTCTTTACTGCGGCTACTCTGACAGATTACTTTGCTTGCAGAACTTTGAGCCTATGTGTAATAGCCAGCAGTGGAAGTATATATCGTAAAGATACTACTGAGATTTCTCTTGTACATCTTATCACATGGCTTCATTCTATAGGCATTCAAGTGTCATCAGTTGACCTTTACATATGGTAAGCATTCAGAATCCATAATCTGTCATGGAGAAGATCACATGCTGGTACATATGAACAGCATTCTGTGTTCCATGTTCATTGCTGCCATAATCTTGAGTGCATTGAGTCCTACTTGACAATTTGCTGCCACTGCTTCCATGATCCCTGAAGAATAGGCTTCTATCGAAAGTGTAGCGTAGTGGTACGTGCAGCAGCAGTAGTAGCTTTAAATTATTAGTACATACAGAATTATACATTACATTTTGGTCGTATACTTACATTACAGTCATATACTTTGGCAGTTCCTATAATGAGATTTTTATTTTCAAAACCTCAAAACTTTCAACAAATAATTCATGACAATTCCTTCCCAGGTGATCTGATTATCATCTATACAGATGGCTCTGTGTTGAGGGGCAGATCAAGTGCGGGGGGGTTCATAGGAAAGTTGAATAGACGTCGCTTATTGCAGCAAAGCGTTGCATACGATATCACAACGTCTAGTTTGAGAATGGAGGTGGAGACAAGTCTCTGCTGCCTTCCAGTGGCTTGAGAATCAGCTGTACACACATAGTGTGATTGTAACTGACTCTTAGAGCATGTTCAAAAAAGGTGAAGACAGGCATGCTTTGTGAAGAGTAGCAAGCATCACTTCAGAGGTCCTGGGTAGTTAGCGTCCATTGGATATTTTATCCAGGTTATGCAGGCAGATAGACTGGCCAGATCTGCACCACTTGGTGGTGAATTGATGTATGACAAGCTAGATATTTTGAGGGCCCTTTGGGAACGAGTGAACAGTGTGGATGTGCAGATAGATTTTTACGGTCTGAGAAGAATGGTGTTGCGAGGAGTTACCAGGGGATGTGGCCGACGCTCAACACTCAGGGAAAGGATGAGACAGATGTACAATCAGACGGATACTGGTACTGTCAAAATTGGAACCCTTTGTTTGCTGCTGAAAATGGGGACGGAGCACTTATGGGAGTGTCTCAGGTGCAATGATGTTGATTCCTAATTCAACAATCAACATCCTTTTCAAAACATCTGAAAATACTATTCTGTGTAGAGATGAGAAAATAAATGATACCTTGTCAAGTCCATAAGCCTAATAAGTGAATACAGTTTTATCTGAATTACATTGGGCTTACTATAGTCTTGACTGACTGAAAGATTAGCAGAAAATACTTGAAATTTGGTCTGTCTTTTCACATTTGCACTGAACAACTAAAGGATACATTTATCCCCTTAACAGGTGATCCACTATGAAATACATCAATGAATGAATTCAGAATTGACATCACACACACCTGTTCGTGAACCACCACAGACCACCCCTCCCTCCCCCCCCCCACCCCCACAACTCCCCAACTTAAAAAAAAAAACCAGCAAGCGCCCAGCCTGACTGCGGCAAGATGAAGCCAGAAGCCACTAATAGAATACACCCAAGCCGCTATGACAGCCCACTAAACCATCTCACTGGCCCGAAGAAACCCTACAGCTCGAGACCAGCCAGGCATGTTAATCTACCACATGATTGACTCCCGCCCATACCTGTTCCAGCGCCGCCCCAGGCAAAACGACTGCCCTTTTCAGGGCAGCCCAGGAGAAAAGGGCAGTCCAGGACCCCCTCCCTACACACAGATACAAAACATGAGAAATTACCACCCGGCAATTAGACTAGAAATCGAACAACCAAAAAGTCAAAAACCCAAGAAATAAAAAACCCAGTGGTCTCACCACGAATAAAGTGAAGCTCCCGAGGCATGCTGAACATGGTACCCGCTTCTTTGAATTGAATTGACATCACTTGACTTTGGACCTTTAAGCACACCCACAATTGCTGCACCCCCCCCCCCCCCCCCTTTTTCCCCACCTATTTCAGTAGACAACAAAGAGCTGCAACCAGAAATTTTTTGAGAAAAAAGTTCTAAGACTGACCACAAAGTGTGTTGTGTGTTTTTAAGCAAAGGGGTTCCAGTACTCACATTAAAATATCTATGACATCAGGCAGCACTGGGGGAACAAATGCTCAGCAAGATACCACTACTGCTAACTGTTGCGTTCCACTAGAAAAGGGTATGGCTCACAGGGCTCATGGTGCTAGCAGCAGTCTGAATGAAACTACTACTGTCATTTGCCCTCTACATTGAGGGTCATCCAGACTTTTTGCCACTCTTTGCTGCCCTATTCATGGTATATGTGGATATTCTGCAGTGCTGTACTTCAAAATGCCCTATTAAAGTAGTCACTGCCCAGAAGAGTGGCAGCAGTAAATCTGTCAGCCTTCTCATTGTTCTGCACACCCGTATATCTCGGGAAGAAAAGTTGTAACATGCATTATATCCTTGCCCTTTGAAAATGTGTTACAGGGATGATGAAATTTCTTATATATTTTTCAGAAGTCATTTGATTTCTCACAAATGGATCATGCTG